GGTGGTGCACAAAAGCACCCGATGTCTAACCTCCCGCCGTTTTTGCCCTGCTTTCAAAAGCCCATGACGAGAGTCCCCCGTGCCAGGTGGCTGGATCATCAATGTGACGGCGGGACTTTCTGCTTTTAACGAAAATACAGTAAATGTCAGCATGATGATATAGCTGAAATTGGGGTAGGAAAAGGAAAACGCAAAAGGACACAGGAAAAGAACAGGCAACGTCTCTTGAGACGTTGCCCTTTTTTTTTGCGTTTTCCTTTTCCTACTTCAGTCTCGGGTTTAATAGTTGAAAATGAGCGTGTTGGTGAATAGATACGAATACATGAAAGAATAAAACATCAAGGACGGGGACGGCTACAGGACTTCTTGAAAGAAGTACTCTTTTCGTCCCTGTCCTCGATGTTCCATCAAGCTTTCATGTATTCATATATCAAGTATTCCATCATGTTAACCTTACACCAGCTCGCCTGCACTCTGACCATTTTTTGTTAATAATAAACATGCAAACGAGGTTGTGTGACGTAATCATGCCGTACCCGGTGCTCAAATAAAAAAATAACAGCATAAAGCTTTCCGTTCTTCAGGCGTGCGCTATACACATTCGCGTCTTGCCACGTTAAAAAAGCGACAAAACATTTAAAGCGAGCGAAACTGATTTAGGCCTTACGGAGACAGAACCTTGATGAAATTTCTTGGCAACCAACCGTGAACCCCCCTGTTTGCTGGGCCCACTTTGTCAAAGGTTCGTAAACGTGCCAACTTCAAAGATGGATTGTTTCTAACATACCGTTCCTTACTTTTTGGCGGTGCAGGCAATCCTTCGCGACATCAAGACGGCCCGGATTTCGCACCATCAGAGTTTGTTTACACATTCCCGAATACGGCAATGTCCCGTGCCCTCACGCGGTGCACAGGACGGGGAAGTGACGGACGGGATAAGCTTGAATAAATTAAGCGATCAAGGAGAGTAAAATCAGCTGTTTGTAGTGGCCGGGTCTCATAAACGGAACTCACAAGCTCCGCACAAGGTTAATGGTTGGGTCGGTATCCAAGCTTGCCACCATTACTTTCTTTACCTAACACTCTGCGACTCTGCTTTGAAAGCAGACCCCTTTTTTAGTTGCTTGCAAGACGCGACACCGAAGTGACGATGAAATGACTCCGAGTCGGTGGTAAGAACCGATGCGGCGTCGGTGGTCTATCCATCCCTGAAGGTATAAAAACGAACGAGGTCCTCTGTATCCTAGACATTGAGTTTTGTTAATCTTACAGGTCGTTCTCAGCCATTTCGAAGAAAATATGCACGCGAAGCGACGACAGAAAGACACGTTCGGATTGGTGAAGGACGGAACAACGCCACCAGAGAACACACGTAAACACATGAACCGGGAGACGAGCCAGGCCTGGCGCGGACGACGGAGAGACGGTCCCGGAGCCACCAAAAGTGTTTCGAGCGATTCCCGCGAGGGCGCGCCACGATCGTGGCCAAACTCTGAAAAAGGTCAATTCTCTCCGTCCCAGGGTTTACAAATACAGCATGTTCTTTTCCAACCAGTTCGCTTGCCCTATGTATTTCTTGCAGATGATGTGCCGCGAATGATCATTGCAGCAATGCGCAGCGGTTGTCAATGAACGGTGCACGCGCCGCACTCCGCACTCCGTACGCACTCCCCACTTCGTAGATTTGGCTTTTCCGGCCGTCACTGCAGTGATTGAGCTCGAGCCAAAATTTGAATGTCCCGCAAGGCATCAACTGCTGCTAAGCCTAAGTGCAGTGCCAACGCAGTGCTCGAGTCCAACACATGAACACCAGTCAAATATCAGTCATGACATCTCAGAAGGTATGCCCGTGGTATATCGACATCGTGGTTTCCGGAAGCTGCGTCAGCAAGCTTTGCGTAGGAGCGACTGCAAGAGGAGTTCGCTTGTGCTTTTAAAACTATACAAAAAAAAAACAGAAAAAAAAAACACACAGTTTAGAGGCATTGCATGTGAGCATGAAGTTCACATACTTCTGTCAGCATTCTTTTTTGAAGTGCTTAATCTTTAAATTCAGTATCGTTTCATGGCAAAATTTATTATTATTGCATGATGAACGTTAAGATCCCACGTTAGCTTCCGCACTGCGGTGGCAAAACTATCCGTCTACAGTAGGAACAGTTTCAATCCAGAACAACTTTGACTGCCTAGACCTCCTCACAGAAAATATGTACATACCTTTGAGTTCGTGACATGTCAAATAGAGTGCATTGCAGCAAACACCCGATAACATAAACTGAATTTGTTAAACTTAATCACGGTGCTGTTTTTGTTTTGTTTTTAGAGCATGTGTTTCGAACTTTCGATGAATGCGTGGGATTCCTAGATTGCTGTAAAACAAGCACCTGAATAGCCGGTCATCGCACTAGAGCGAAATGTGGAAGGGCGTTCTGTTAACGTTATAATATTGATCGGGACGCAGAAGAGACGATGGGCGGACATGAACGCCAGAGAAGCGGGGAAAAGTGAACTTGCGGGGCTCGGGACCTTTGTTCCTCTTGTGGAATGTCCGCCTGCAGGCCACCTTCTATCGTTCAGGAGCGCCCTCCCTGTGCTGCCCATGCCGCGCCCCTTCCCGATAACTTGTGTCATGAAACCCTAAACCTAGTACAACACGTTGTAAGCCAATTTTCTAACCGTGACACATTGAAGACTTAGAGAGACAATCCCTAACAGACCCCGGAATCGTGAGGCAAAAAATAAAAACACAACCCTGCAAAAAAAAAAAGAAGTCATGTTTTGCATTTTGGACACTTTATTCCTTAAAAAAGGGCCCCAACCACAACTTCACAGTTGCTCGTGAAAACGTTTAGCTATTTCAGAGGTCGTTGTATTGGTCTTGGCATTCCTTTTATGCTCATTTAATCTGTCGTTAATGCGTCTTTATGTTTGTCCTATATACGTAGACCCACAAGCTAGAGATATTTCATACACGACACTGTTCCAACAAACTGATTTTTCAAGATGACCCTTTTGCACTCATTCGTACCCGCTTGGAATGGCGTCATCCTGTTGGACTTGAAAGCGGAAATAGACACACCTATCTACACCAAAGTCATTCGCATAAAAGCAGGAGCACAGGTTTAACCTGTGTGACTGGGTTCTGTAAATAGTCTTTTTAAGGTCGAGCCCCCTTTCATCGTCCCTGTAGGGATGGCCGAAGGGGCTTAGCCGAAAGAGCTCGGGGAATTGGCGGCGCGGTCACCCGAAGCGTCCTTCGGAGGCGCCCGATGTCTTGTCTTTCCCTTTGGCGGCAAGCGGCGGCCAGCTCCCGAAAGTGGAAGCAGATTTCCCCGCGTGGGAAGTGAACGAAACCTTCCAGGCGGGAGTGGGTGGTCGCCCTTGCCGCCGTGGTAACTGGGGAAGCGACCTTGTCTGGGCCATGTCGGCGATTCCGCGGAGAGAGGGAGATCCGGCCTCCCTTCGGAATGTCGGTGCTCCTTTTTGAAGAAATTGAGTCTGAACGAGCCCGTGCGCGGAGCAAGACGTTATTCTCCCGCGGTCCCGAGGGCTCCGCGTATTCTGTCTCGCGAGACAAAGGCCTTGCCGTACGCGGCAAGGGACTTGGCGCTGAGGCGCTATTGTTGGCGTTGGGTTGCCGCGAGCGGCATCAGCAGCGCGACATTTTCTTGTTTTGTCCTGTAAAAAGTTGTTCCTCATTTGTAAATAAATATTTATTTACTCAACCACCGAGTCTTGAGCATCACTGAAGCCACCGGAAAGAAGCCACCCTCCAGCCAGCGCAGCACTCCACGATCGACGAGAAACATTACTGGCGCAGTCGACAGGATCAACGAGAAACATTACTGTCCCTTTTGTGTCTGAACGTGTGTGTGTTCGCATTCTTTCACCACAGCATCATAGAGAATGGTTTTGTGCGCCTCATGCAGATGGCGTCGCGAAAACTCACCCAGATGTACCCAAATATCCGTCACGCCAGCCGCCGCGCGTAGTTTAAAGACCCGAGATATTACCGTTTTTTGCTTGCATTTTACGAAACGGAATCGCGATATTTATTTAAAAAAAAAAAAAAAAAATAGACGTGATTTCTATCTTTTTTTTTTTTTTTAAGATAAACGATACAAAAATTTTAAGCTGCGAATTCCTCCAGCATTAAAATCATTCCATCGCCCCTTTAAATATTCTTGTTTTCGATCCACCGCCCAGCCCGTCTCACGTTGTAATGTTACCCCTCTTCGGTCGGATCCCTCATATAACAGGGACATAATAAACGAAAACGACCTATAATCCGCTCGCAGTTTACGCCAGGGCCGTAAACTTGTCGAAACTGGAACACACAAAATGTAATGGACCTTTTCCGAGAAGCGTTCTGCGCACGCGCGAGCGCCCGATGCCAAGCGGCGGAAGTCAGCACTAGAAACCAAGGAAATTCGAAGGAGGCTGTGAATTAGCGAGTAGAACACGTAATTGCAACATATATATAATTATGTTACATAAAAAAAGAAAGCGGATGGAAAGAAAAACACGACGTTTGGGTGGACGCCACGGATTTAAAGTTGCGTTGGTGGCGCGACCAGTCAACGACTCGGTAGGGAAAAAGTACCTAGAATGGCGGCTGTACCTCTAATCGCTGTAGTCGTCAGCTGTGCAACCTGTTTTTGGTTTTGCGGTTTTGCGTGAACTGCGCGTCGTGTTGTCAAACCACCCTACCTAAGGTATGCCAACAAACAACGTGACCGTTGACTGTCGTAATTTTCACCAGCTTCGCTTCGATTCGAGCGGCTTGGATTAGAGAGTGCTCCCGCCTGACGCGGGTTAGACACTTCACAACAGGCAGAGAGAGGTAGGTCGTTTTCACCGTCCTTCGGAAAAGCATCGGTACCATAACATTACCGCTTTATCACAGTGTCACCGTCGCAGGACGAGAGCCACTCCGACAACGTTCTCCGACCACGGCCGCTTGATTCACCGTCGAGCCCATCGAGGGGCCGCGCTCCGACATACAACTCCGGCTACGTGGCCCCTCGGGCGCTACGAACGACATCGTATGAGTAGGGTAGGTAGGTAGTTCCACTTGGTAATCACTCTTTATTTTGACCTGTGCGAACTTGAGGATTGTGCTCGAAAGACACAGTCGTCGATACGGGCGTTGATTTTGTAGTACTTGTTTTCTTTTGGAACGACGGATGATAGGCGTCGGAGGACAGGGTCAGTGCACAGTGTGCTGAGCCATCTCACTGCACGAATGCCTGTTAGCCCAGTGAAAATCCTTGATCGTGATACGTTTTATATGGGCACATTAAACAGCACTTTGGCATGAAATTGTTTAGATAAATTAATCTGGTGTTCGCCTTTCTGCGTTTTCTTTCTAGTGTGCAAGATATGTGACTCCTATGAACCCTAATCCAGAGAGTTACTAACGGGAACAATATAAAAGGGAGCAACTGATCTGGCTTGTTGCTACGTTTATGGCCCCCACAATCCTTATAAGTTCTCAACCTGTCAAATTGGACGTAGACTGGGAGGTAAACTTTGCACCTTGAAGCTTGAACCTTTGTTTGGACAACAGCTCGCTCAAAACTAGTAGGTAAGTCAAAAAAGCATACTAATCTGTTCACTTTCATATTGTTTACAATACATTTTTTTTTCACATTTTAAATTGACAAAACATACTTGAAGCTGTCATAAGACTCATAACAAATTATTCTAACAATATCTATTGCATACATGTCTTTTGCAGTTCGGTATGTATGGCATTGCCCCAAAAGTGGAAGTTGTTCAAATGAGAAGGAAATGAGTAATTGTAGACTAAAAGTGTGACGTGTCCATTCCACCGGCAGCCGGTACTCTAGCCGAGGAAAGACATTTGGCGACGGTAACCCCCATGTCTGACTACACTCATGTTACTATAATATTGTTGTACCTTCTCGGATGCCGGATGCCGGCACCGAACCGACACATTCGCCGGCATACCCTCTCTTATGCGGATGATATTGTACCTGTTTCCACCTGTCTAATTGCGGCATTAAGTATTTGCTGATTTTCTAACAGCTATGTTTATTTATTTGGTTATAATGTGTGCTTGAGAAAAATGACAGGCACCAACTGGCAGTATAAAAAGTTGAAAACGGACATGGTCAGAATTTTGTTTATGTTAAACAAGCATCTGCAAGAAAACTACAGCGGTCCATCTCGTATCCGAGAGTAGGTGTAAGAATAAAAGGGCGGCAGATGCTAGTGCCATCTGTGTATTAGCGAGCGCACCCCTTGTGCGCATCTCCAGCGTTGTCAAGAACTAGGACGCTCAAAATCCCAGACGAGCGTTGATAGAAAATCAGTTATTGAATCGAGCCCCCATTCTACGTCTTCTTTTTCGGGCCCCTGTCTCGCAATGTTATAGCATCCTAGAACATGCGCCGCCGTAACGAGCAGAAAGTACACATGCCACTCTCGTACCGCTATGGGCTCCAAAAATCGCCGGTGTACCCAGCTGTTGCAGAACCAGCAAAAAGCCCTGCACACCAGCAAATGCACAAGACAGTTGCGCACAGCTGACCCAAATTTGAATACCTACATGAACTATGCATGGTATAGCTCGATTTCTACAGTGCTCGCGTCCCACCCCGCTGACCCAGGTTCAATGCCCAACAGGGGATGATTTATTCTTACTTCAAAGTCAGCGAACACACGATTAGAAAAGGTGTCTGACATATTTCGAAAAGGTTTGGGAGTAGATTTAGAGGATGGTTTTGAAGAAAGTGTGGCGACAACGAGAGCAATATGCATTTCATGCTCAAAAATGTACACCTTCCTGACTCTAATAGTTTATTTTGCACTTACATTATACAAAATGCAACACTCTGCAATATTGCCCGCTATTTCTGTAGAAGACAGCCCTCCTCTTGTACCCGAGGCGTCATTTACCTTTTTGGGTATGGTTACACTCACTGCCGAAGATAAGATTTTTTTCGTCCCCATCACGCAACCGTGATCTACTTGAAATAGTAAGAAAACGGACTTTCAAATTTCCACATGGGGAATCACAGTACCACGGAAAAGAACCTGACAATCAGACGTCCTGTGCCTTGACAGATTAGAGGGCACTGCTGGCAATTTGTTTCCAAACTACTATGGTGTCCCATCAACTAGAAATGTGGAACTGTGACGTAATGTCATTGGTACGACGCTTAACATTTTTGCTCGTAGTTTCTGTGGTTGTCCCATGACATCCAAACTACTAAGATCATTAAAAAGAGTACTAGGTGTAAGTGTCAGAGTTGTAAATACAATTGTGTCTCTTTAATAGGAAATTCCCCAGAGAAAATGTTCATAATAACGAATCAAGGTAGCCCTGTCCATTTATGCTTCGTTGTCTTCTTTTCCGCTTTCGAACTGACCACAGAGACCTCCAGCCTTGCATGTGCTCAGGTTAGTGCTATGATTGTAACCTAATTTACACAATGGAGTCAGAAAAACCCTTCTGACCCATTTAAATTTTTCTTCGCTGTTTGTCTGCTCTCTCATGGAGATCGCCTGCTAAGAGAGCTCAGAAGTAGCTTTAAGTGAAGCCTTCCTGGAACAACCATTGCTAAGCAACTCGGGGCATGTTTAGCAAACCTCCACATTTTCCCCTGATAGCATTTGCCAATTGCCTCTGTGCATTTATTGTTTTTGTGTGTCCATTCGCAACTTTCAGCGATAGTGGTGCAGCGGTGTGAGTCATGTTCCCTAGCTCGTGGAGGATAGATTGCCAAATAAAGATTCTGGCCAGCTCTTCTTTCGGGCAAAATTATATTGCATATGTCTCATATATTTGCATCACTTGTGCGTGGAGCCTGGCCACGTTCTGGTTCGTACAAATGACGGCCATTTTAACTGGTGCCAGCACACCCCCTTTAGACCGTGAAACTTGCAAATAATTCCAATGTGAATAGTTCCAGCCTGTTTAGAGAGCAGATTGCAGCCAGAAATAAAAACCCAAGTCCCTATGTATATTTGGATACAGGTAGGTGAGTTCAGATTGCTGTAGGAACAACCTATATATAACAACTGAGAAGTTAGGAACAAGGAAAAAAAATGTCTGTATAAACTTTAGTTCATATATGCATGCATTTCGTTTTTACAGAGCTGGACCAGGAGGATACCATTGGACTGTTAATGATGTCCGAGACTTGTGACGGGTTCAGGTCATGGGATCTAAGGACTGCTGAGATGCAGCTGCAGATCTAATCCACAAGGTGACAAGGAGATGGAAGTTCAAGCAGTGAATCTGGAAGGACGACAGCTGTCTGCTAGTTCTTCACAAAACAGAAAACAATGTATTTATTACGCAATGCTTTCAGAGCCTCCTGTATTCATATCATGGATGGTCCTGATGTCCCTGTGATTCTAAAGCAATGAGAAGAAAGGCCACCATCTGAAAATGAAACTCATTGGCAAGTTCTTTGCGGTATTTGTGAGAGTGACGCTACAAATGGTCTTCTTTTTTTATGTGTGATAATGAGTAGGCTTCCCTACTCACATCAAGCTTTACCGCCCGACACCTGTGTTCTCAGGTGAAATTGTGCTCTTGTGTGTAAAGCTTTATTGCTTTGCACCGGAATGCGTGCAGAAGCTGTGGAGCATCAGTTAGCTCAATATTGCTCACTGTTATGGCTCTTTGGTTACGAGTTATAGATATGGGGGACCCTTAAAGGGATGCTGAAGCGAAATTTGAATTTCCCAAAACACGCGGCAAAAGCGTGCAACGGGATGCTACAAACACCAAAACATCCCTCAATCGGCGATATCTCGAACGGATGACCGTATTTTAAAAAAAAGAGGCGCATTTGGCAGGAATGTTGACGTCATGTTTCTCTGAGAAGGAGAGGGAACGGCCTCGCGTCTTCTCGGCCTTGAGGGAGCGAAGCGAAGAGAGGAGGAACCACGGTATCTTGACATCACGCGCCTCGTCGGCCTGGTTCAATCTCGACCTCTTTTTCCAAAAATACGGCCGTCCATTCGAGATATCGCCTTGCGAGTAGTGTTGTAGAGATTGTAGCGTCCCGCCTACATCTCCTGCATTGTTTTTTTTTAAATCCAATTTTCGGTTCACCATCCCTTTAATGTGAATTAATTGAACCACAATAGCACTTTTACTGTGATCAGGAATTTCTCCCCGAGATGTTGCTGCCTGCCATTACTCTTAAAATATTTATACATTATAGTTTGGTCTACCCCCAACTGATAAGGAAGGGGAGACGTTTGTCACTTCAAGCCAGCATGAGTCTATTGGAATGGAAAGCTTGATAATAGAGAGTTCTATAGAACATTTTCCACAATTTGGATTGATAGCCTGATCCAACCCCAGCCAGCCGCAAAATGAGGCCTTGTATTGGATTGAGTTTCAAAAATGCTTCTCTAAAACCCTCTAATGTCAAAGGCAAGCACCTGTGGCTGTTTGTAAAAATAGGGACAGCTATTCTTCCCTGTGGCACGACGCTGGTTAGTATTTACTGTAAACGACTAAATTTTCGCGAATCGCCTACAATTCGCGAAAAATATGTCCCACGTACAATTCGGGCAATATGTGAACGCTACGAAAGCTACACTCTATTCACGAAAATTAGAACCCGCAAATAATTTCAAATTTTCAGCTTATGCCTGATTCGCGAAAATTTGAGCCCGCGGAAATTAAGCCGTTTACAGTATAGCTGCTCTGCTTTCTTTGCCATTCGAAAAGTTACAGGCCACATTGGGGTGGCAGTAATTGAATTCTGTTTTGGCAGCCCTCTTCCCATGGCTCTGAATGGCTTGGCTGCATCACAAATATTTTGAAACACGTGCTAACAGGTGCAAGTTCCTCATAAAATAAATGAAAGGCATGCAGGACCTCTCATATGAATACCTGCATGTGCTCCCAGTGAACGTTTAGTGCACAGTCAATGTTTTCTAAATATTTCTATACACAAAGTTAAAGTTCAGGTGCCATTAGGCATTAAATGTTTATACATTTTGAGGTACACATCTTCCAAATAAGGAAATGAAACATACTCTCATTATAATTGTCATGCCAACCTAGCTTCATAAAATACCCTCGGTTCCAACCAACGTTGTACTGAGCAGATGTGAGCTGCTTTTATCTCTTTTGTATGGTCGTCAATTTATCTGCTGGCATATGCTTTGTCTTACGAGTGCTTCAGAAGGCACATTTCCTGAATTTGGCTTGTATGCCATCTTGTGCAGGCATATTTGAAATCTGTGTAGTCTAAATGATTGTATAAATGTTATAAGAGCGTATTGCAACATTGCAACAAATTGTATTATTTGGCAGCTGGTTGCAGGCTAATAATACCAATAAAATAGAGCTTCGAAACATTTGCGATGTTTTCCTGCATCATCATAGACACACAATACTTTTGTAAGTGCCAATTTTCCAGGCAGACTTCTTAGACTGTAACACTATAGCACATGTCTTACCACGGCAAGCTTTGTCTAAACTAAGTTGGTGATAAAGGAAGTGGCAGGCCAACACTCATTTAGTATGGAAGGAGCATGTATCGACCATTTTTAGTACTCGGCAGAGGCAGTAACTGCAGCTACGACCTCCATCTTTCTTTCAGAAAGTTGCCAGTTGCCGACGTAGGAGAAAGTGGCCATAAAACTACGCTGAACTAGAAAGCGGACAATACGCTTCTTTTAATAACATATTAGTAATTTCTGACACTGATACCCTGGTGAAATCCAATAGGATATGTAAGGCTGCGCTAAGATAGGTTGTTGTGCGATTTTTTTTGCAAATCTGACCAATCCGACCATGTTCAGAGTCGCAAGTGCTCATTCAGGAACCCTGATCCTCAATGAGCACTGCAGTTTGACTTACACAATATTTTCCGCAGACAAAAGTACCATTCCACCCTAGAGTTTTTGGTTGGAACTGGTAGCATGATACACTTTCTCTTCTGGTGGAATTGTTGTGTAGTCTGGTACAAGGACCGACGACCTCAGGAAAACAAGGCATGCTCAATATGATGAGTTAGCCAGGCAGCAGCTCCTCACTGACAAACCCCTCATCAAGGCTGACGGTTTCAATGTTTTATCCTTGCAAGAGTGGTGTGGTTTGTCCAAATACCAATGTCGCGCATCTTGCACCGACACATTGTCATCTGGTATTTATCCTGATAAGAGTGTGCATGGTGTGCATATCTCCATGAACCAGTACACTGAGAAGCTTATTTTCATGCGGGTGATAAACCAGTCTTTTTTAAGGGATACTGTCCTGAAGGGCCGACACATATTATCCTGAAGGGCCGACGAGCACGGAGCACCTGCTGGTGGGAAGACCCTCTCCCAGTGACCTTCTTTCCATTCCTTGTCGCACTCTTTTCTTCTTACCTGAAAGGAGGAAGTCTGGAAGCTGACCTCTGCCAAAAGGAGGAGGACTCTCCTCCTGTTTTGGATGAAAAGGAGAAGTTGAGGGGCGTTTTCCTCCTCTCTACCTGTTGGTCGGCCTAGTCCCTTCTTTGTTAAACCTTCTACACGACCCCGTCAGAGGACGTTGCAAGAAGGTTTTGAAGCTTGCGCGGGGAATTAGAAACAATGAAAAGTGTCCGCCAATGGGAAGCACGAGGAGGAGGTGATAGCACTGGACAGAAGTTTGCAACTAGACGTCACGGCTAAGTGGCATTGATGGCCATTACCATCATGCCTTGCGCGCCCCCTCCGGATAAGCGGTGAGCGTGCATATTTCAACATTCAGTCAATTTTGATATGTTTGCATTTTCAAAAATTTAAATAAATGGAGATGTTAGCAACTCGAAGGCATGACCGGCTACTCCATTACCATTGAAGAAAATATTAGAAATTAAACATTTCAAACATAGATGCAGTGCATCTCGGCACCCACACACCCCTCTTCCCCCATTCCCATTCTATTGTCTTGGTATCCCACAAGCTCAACATGCACAGCAACAGCACCGTCCTTCTTTACAATTGGATAGTGGAACACTTCACTTGTTGCATCTCGCCCTCGACTCGAGATTCCCTTAAAGGCCGACCAACAAGCAGAGAGGAAGAAACTTTTTCTTGATTTCCTTTTTCCATCCTAAAAAGAAGGAGAGCCATCCTCCTTGCGGTGGAGGTTAGCTTCCAGACCTGCTCCTTTTGGATGAGGAGGGCAAAGCGCAAGAAGGAATGGGGGAAAGGACATTGGGAGAGGGTCTTTCTTCTTGCAGAAGATGCTTCGTGCGCGTCGGGCTTTGAATTAGTATGGTCATTACGCAGTCTTAGGTTGCCAGCCTGATGGTGACGGATGTTACGACATCTGCCCCATTTCCTCCATAAACCTGCATGCTACTGCACTATTTCTTTGTCCTCCTAGCTCTACAAAGATTGTTAATCACTGCTTGGCAGGAGGAGCTATTACTCCTTTGCTAGCTTCATGGGACGCACATTGGCACATGGTACCCAGGGAAGGCAGGATTTGGTGCTGCAATGGCCAGCCTTTGATGCAGCAATGTCAAAAGGCAATGAACCAGGAATATTCCCCAGTCTTAGAAACGTCTCTCCTTCCGATGGAGAATAAATATACTCTCAGCAAGCAACTGAAAAGTGGTGTAGAATTGGCAAGCCTCTCTTGGCTGCAACAGCAGGGAAATAGGGGCCAGATAAGCAATGATCATTTAGAATCGGAAAATGTTTATTGAATGAAAGACAGCACTGCCTGCTCTGAGCTTTTTACCATGAATCTGGAGTAGGTGAGTATATTTAATGAAAATTTCAATGCGGGCGAGAGCCTTATGAAGAGCTGCGAGGGTGACAGCATCGGCTTGATGAAGGCCAGTTAGAGTTTCATATCTCCTTGCTGTGTCCGTCTTTTTCCCTCGGGCAACCCAGTCCTTGTTAATGTAAGGCAGAATGTGGTAAGCATTTTTTTTTATCTGTATCTTTCACCTTAATAGGTATTGTTTAATCTCAAATACTTTTAATTTAGAGATAATTACATTGTCAAAAGTTGTATCAAGATACATATCCAAGTAAATAAAAAAATATAAAAAAACGTCCTACTTTAGGCAGAAATATATCCTTCAGAGTACCGGGCGGTCCAGACATCGGGTCGAGACCTAAATAAATCGCAAAAAAATTGGATTTGTAAGCTACGACACTGACTTAATATATAAGTTTGGCTATGGTTTTATTTGTAAGAATATATAAACAGTGCTGACCTCAGTGAAACGTTACAAAACAAGAAACTTCGTATGCATTCCAATGAAACCAAAAAAGCATTGTTGTAGGCCATAGGAAGCTTAAATCTGCCCAGCTTTTTTTTTTTTTTTTATTTGTAACTTTTGATCGGGTGAATCCATCACCCAGTTGGTCTTGTGTGGTAAATTAGTGTCATAGTTCACAAATAAAAAAAACATTTGCGATTTATTTAAGTCTCGGCCCGATATCTCGAAGACATTGCTCCCATCGTATCCCAGTATTTTCTCCATTGCTGAAGGTTCTCCTTTGCTACCGCATTCTCGATACTGTGCTTTCGGCTCTCGTGCAGAGACCACTTCAGGTATATCTTATCTTTAGCATGGGGTACACCTAAGGTTCAGAAGCAACCATGTCATGGGCGCAAGAAGCTGGCCGCTCCTTATCTTTCTTTTTGTCGCAGGAAGTATTGCAAAAACACCACAGCGATTATTTCTTCAGGAAATGTGATTAGGATCTAATGATTTCCAAAACAGCCGTGGTAGTGAGTGTACAAGCAAAACGTACGGTGTGAACATGCGACCGGAACTTCATCTCAGTCCACGTCAAACACGGGCATCTTTTCAACTGAAGCCGTCGTGCTCCCTCGCGGGGTTTACACTCCACGTGCGACTGCAGCTCACCGGACATTACTTTGCAACCTTTGCAATGTATCAGTGGCTTAGGAATCCAACTGGAAATACAGCCCGTGACGCAGCCACGCGTAAGCGCCTTTTCTATAAACGCAATGCTCCCGGATATACTCTGTTTCACCTTATGAAGTTATGATGTACCGCAAGAAAGGCTACAAGCGCGAGCTCCTTGCTTTAGGGCACATTTCGGCGGCACAAGCTCTCGTGCGTTAAGAGTAGCTCCCAACGCTATGAGCTCGCGCTTTTAGCCTTGTCTGCGGTACAACATAAGGTGAAACGGAGTATAGTTTAAGGCACACTAATGGAAAATCGTCAAACTTCCAGGAAACGTTCGGTCGGGATGGCCTGGGCAGCCAGCTGCGAGGATTCCCCTTGCCGCCACACACGCTCCCGAAGAAACCCAAGTAGCACAAAACGTAGCTACAACGTTACTGGAATGTTGTCAGGTAACGTTGCTAACGACCGCGGATTCTACAGTCCAGTAACGTTACACCACAATGTTACAGTAACGTAACTGCAGAAGTTACCTGGACATTACCCAAATAATGTTACTGGAACGTTGTTAGATAACGTTGCCAAACGTTGCTAATGGCCACCAGTTCTACCTTCCAGTAACGTCACATCAAAATGTTGCTGTAACATAGCTCTGTATGTTACCTGGATGCTAGATCAGTGATGTTACTCGGACGTCGTTGCTAATTGTTGTTAATGGCCACGAATTCTACCATCCAGTAATGTTACACCAAAATGTTGCACTGACATTACGGCTTACTTAAAAGTGAAGGAATAAAAACGTGAAGAACATACACAAACGACCACTGCAGTGGTCGTTTGTGTATGTTCTTCACGTTTTTATTCACACGCAGGCGGAGTGTTACTGACTCATCTCTTATCTCCCTAAAGTTCCTTTGATCAAGCCTTCCTTTTGCAGTTAATCTTGACCTGTGCGCGAGTCTTTGCTTCCAAAAAACGAGCGTCGTAACTAAATGAAAGAGCGGTCATCTGTTTTTCCTCGGTGCTTTTATTCTGTTAACTTTCAGTAAACATTTTAACAATATGCTGGTACTGGCCAGATATTACTGCATGTGTTACTTGGACATTACTGAACAATGTTACCCGAAAATACATTGACAAGCGCTGCCAGGAAACTGCATTTATGGTTGTCATGAAGTCATTTTTTGAGCTGGTGCCTGATATGAGCAAATGGATGTGCATTACAGGCCATTAATGAATCAGCATTTTGAAATCCTAGAAGCAGGACTCCGGAAGAAAACAAGAAGTTATTGGAATAAATTTATTTCAAAAACGAAACCAACATTACAAGTACCAGAGAATTCTTCTGTTTTTTACAAGCTATTAGATCTACAAAATTGTAAAGAACACACTAAATTACAAGGCTGATCTGCATAAAAATAAAAATGTAGAATATTAAAACTCCCAGCAACATAAAGCAAGTAGCTTAAAATAAAATTCTAAATATATCTCAAATTACACCCGATCTTGGGCTAGGACATATAAATAAATAACGGAGGCAATAAACCGAAAATGACTAGAAAAAGAACATAAATTTTAAATCTTGTAAAAATACCGCACTAATGTGTACAAAAATTAAATAAAAGAAACCAATAGCTGGGGCTAAAATGTATGCATGAATAGAAATTAAAGGTAACATATGCATATTACAAATTGACAAAAATTCAAACAACAGGCACTCTACTCATGGGATGGCTGTAAAAAAAGAGAAAGAAATCATTAGAAAAAAAAGCATTTCAAATGATTTAGGTAGCATGAATTTTTGTTTTTTCAATTCCATGCATTTAGCACGGTTAACCAATTCCATGCTTCCAACTGGGATCAAAGTAACCAACTACTAACATTTAAAACTAACAGATATATCAAGGCAGAAACATGCTGAAAAACAGCGCAAAATGCACGGATAAGAAAACACACAGGACAAGGCACTGTGTGTTCTTTTTCCTTTGTCTGGTTTTCGCACCGTTTTTCAACATGAATTCTTACCAACTAGCCCAGCCCAACTGTCCATCCTTGTAATCAGAAACATGCTTGCCTTCTCCCCTTGTGGCAGCCCCTCAGTCACTCCTGAGAAGAGGCACACTGCTCCTGCAAAAAAATAACACAAAAAAGTTGGTTGCATTCAGAAAATGGGTGCCTATTTCAGGGCAGAGAGTGTCATCAAGATAAAAAAGAAATGCCTACATCTGTCCTAGCAGTTTCACCACAGTTTCTTTGCCTGCACAAGCCATTCTTTTCATCCAGTTTAGACTTTTACCGCAAAGTGTGACCTACCCACAGAACACAGTGGATACGCGACTTATTCTTTTCTGCCAAGGTAGGCGGCTGTTCTCGGCCGCTCACTTTTTCCCACTTCAACCTTCTATTTATTCATGCGTGAAAGGCACTTTCTTAAGAGGGAAACAGCTATTTTCTGTAGCGCCTTTTTTATTTTGTATTTGTAGATTTCACTTTGTTTTCATTTTATCCTAAGAGAATAGCTTTCTTTTTAAGAACATAGATGTTCTTAAAAAAGACGTGCCTGCCCTCTTTGTCAATTTTTTGTAACCGACAGAACCGTGGACCTGTCGGATCTTCGACATGCAGTATATTACTGTATGTCGAATATCCGGCAGGTCCACGGTTCTGTTGGTTATAATAAATTAACAAAGAGGGGAGACACGTCTTTTCTTTTCCCCGTATCATGGGCCACGGAGACAGATCACTGCCTCAAGGACGGCTTCGTCTTGAAGCAGAATAGGTCTCTTCAAGGACGAAGATATATATACGCTTTTGAATGGACGTGCATTCATCACTGCAACTGATGATCACAGCTTTTAAAAGTGTCGTTAGTGTTACCGTGTCTTATTGGCCTCATTAACAGAGGTCATCATTTACTAAAAAAAAAAGAATAGAAGGTGACAAAAAAAGGTTCCTCCCTTTTATATATATATATAAGTTTATAAGTTACAATAAATATTAAAACACTGCTATCCTCCCGGCACTAAAAAGAAAAATATTTCTACTGCTCAAATAGGCTATGTTCAATGAAACAACTTCGATGAAATGGCGTTCAATGAAACAGCGTTCGATAAAACTGCGTTCAATGAAACAGCTTCGATGAAACAATGTTCAATGAAACGGTGTTTGATGAACTGTCCGGACCCAGGGGCAATGTCAATGAGCCTCATATTTTCTACAATGTCAAGCTCATTGCAGACAATGTCATAACATGGTGTTCTTTCATTGGCTAAATAAGTTTCTTAATACTTAAAAATGTCTTTATGGAAAGTAGACTAATGCCTTCGTTTGAAATCTGGGCTTGTTTTAGGATCCAAAAGTATTTTTCGGGAGTTTAAGCAAAATTAGAAATATCATATTACCATTTTCTTGGTCCTAGCTGGTGCATGCCTGACCGATTCAGCAGCAGCCCATTTGGCGTCGGCTTCCTGCACGATGATGGCTGGCTCATTGTTTTCTGCCTTCTGTTTAAAGCAGGTGCGCACAGCTCCTGTTTCAGAAGTATATAATTACAACACAACGTCAGCTACCACAGTGAAATATCGACAATTTCATGCCCTACTTCAGCATAACTTGGCAGACATCGGTAACTATGAAATCAGCCAGGGTGTCTAGCAAATTCCTCCTTTTAAGTTCCCCAGCTTTTCCAGGTTTTAATTTCCCTGTCTATTACAGAAGTTTGGAGATGTGGTACGAACTGCTACTAAACACCTCATAAGTGAACACCACTCACAATTTAAAACAATTTATTGAAATCGGTCTTTACGTTGCTCAAGAAGTCAAAGACTTACAAAGTTTCGGGCAATGTTATTTAGCACAGCCACGTCAATGCACGACTCTCCTGGCTTCGTCGCACACCACCGCATTACTCGCCCTGGCCATTTTCCCTGATTTGGCTAACTTTTTGATTATCTCCCTGACAATTCCCTGACTTTTCCAGATGATCCGAAATTTCCTGACAATTCCAGCTTTTCCAAGGTGCTAGACACCCTGTCAATGAGCCAGATAGTTCGGGAGCGAGGCATGGGACAAAACTCCACTGTAGTGAGCTTATGTGGGCTGCTGTCACATGCTTCACCAGGACACAGTTTCCTTTCATCTAAAAGAGCCAAATCCAGAAAACTGAAACCAAGCAAATTTTTGTATGAATCCAAACTATATTCGTTGGTCCATCGATCTCAAATGCTACTACAGTGAAATCGGTCAGAGTACGCTATAAAAACCACAGCAGAGGTGGCTGCGGCACATGGCTCAAAGCTATACTGATAAGCAAACATACCAATTTATCTGTTTTGCTCCATGTGGATTTCGCCTTTTTAGAAAAAAAGCTCCTCACTTGTTTGCCCTGTATAGCTATAGCCATTTGTTGTTAAAAGGCAACTTTGCTTAATTCCAAAACTTTTGGAATTGTAAGATTTCAAATAAAAATAAAAAATAAATTTAAAAAGAAATATAAAAATAACTATTTTATTTCATGCATTGGTGGAATATTTCCTATGCAATTTTGCTTTAAACATGGCCCAAATAAAACCCGAAACATCGGCTTCTACAGGCAACGATGGCAGAGACGGCGGAGACATGACCAATCCCATGGTACAAATGATCATGTGCTACCCCTGCGAGGACGACGCAAACAGACGGGCCCGAGTGTTGTCTGCTCCGTGTCGGACGACATCTGCACCACTGCAACCTACGCTAAAGCCAAGTTTTCTCAAAGGAATATCTCAGGAACATTAGTATGCAGTGAGGTCTACTAAATAGTACATAAATAAGCCATTGAGTATGTGAACATTGTGCAAACAATGCCATTATTATTTAACAGAGGTGAACCATGAGAAACGTGCACATCCAGGTCTGTGCCAATCATGTGGACACCGCTGAACCAACTTTCGGAGAAAACATTGCTCAAGTCAAGGAATGACTGTGAATGGAAAAAACAAAGAAAACGTAACAATGCACCTGACATAGTAAATTGATGTTTGGTGCACCGAAGCCGTAGTAGCAACTGCGCTGTCGTTTGCGCCTACATTGTCAGCTAGGGTTAGCAGTTTGCTGATCCATTTCATAAAGATTTAAATGGAGATAATATTGGACATGTGGTTTTCCTAGATGATACTGAAGAAGCCTTTGTTTTCTCTCACTAACAAAAATGAAACAGAGTCTGCAAAATGGCGGGCCCTTGCGCGCTGCCATCTTCCAGCTGGGGTGCACCCCAGATAATCCGATTATGAAGGCTTGCTAAAGCGTCACTAAGCTAATTGACAGATTGGTACCCTGAGAGCACGTTTCCCTACCCATGGTGGCTAGACTACTTTTGGAAACATGACTGCTTGCAAACGTGTATAGCTGATTGTGTCATTCAGCTATATGGTAATGTACCTTACACCAAAGAGTGCTCGGTGGTGTAAAACAAAATGTACCACCTTTCTTTAAGAAGTGGTCAATCCTAACGCTGCCCAAACCATTCCACATATAAAGCGGAGGACAGGTTTATAAAAAGTGCTAGCTTTAGAGTGCACAAACAGCAAGCGTTCTAATGTATCCTTTGACCAGAAAGCATAGATAAATAAACAACATAAATTAAATTGTTAAATAAAAATGACTAGTACAGCAGAATTATGCAAACATGAGGTTGCAGCAATACAAAGCAAACATATGCACTGTCAAATTAAAAATATCCACTTCACCATCCCTTAGGCTATAACTGTCCTTGTGCGAGGAAGCATACCACAACTAGCAGCTTTGTAAATTAAAAATGACTAGATAAAAAAAAATGAAAGCCGTTTACAACTCCCTGTAAATCTAAATTAGAGTGCAGCTCTAGAGGAGGAGGGAAGGGTCCCGAGGAAAGGGTATACCCCTCTTCCCTCCTGCCTGCCACACCTCCCTCCGAGCGGCGTCGCCGTAACCGTGAGGTCACGTGACCCCGCGAGGACAATTTGGCACGGTGCCGGAACGTCACCTTGCCGAAACGTCGCCGCGGTTACGGCGACGGCGACACCACTCAAGCCGGAAACGGGCGCCTAAGAGCTGCGCTCTAAAAGAAACACCAAAACAGCAGGTGCTCAATAAACAATATGGATACCATTCATTATCACAATTGCGGCTAACCAAGCTGAGGCTAATCACATAAAATAAAAAATCTAAATGCTGGAAAGCGTTAAGAAATTGCAGCAACAAAAAGCAAACATACACGTGTGCGTTTTTGCTTGGGCTCTGGTGCACGTTCTGGAAGTTGAGGGGCTGGCTGAGTGTTACGTCGTTCCTGCAGAAGAGGCAAGCTTGATGAAAAAGGAGGGCAAATGAATCCCGAATACAAAGGTGTTGCAGAAATTTAGGTGCATACATCTTGGTCATAGAGGTCCTCATCCTCAAATGAAGAAAGACTATGCTGCAGTCTCTTCCTTTTTCTCTTCTCCCGCTCTTCATTATTCAATGTTAGGTCGGACGTCGCTTCCGAATTTTTTTCTTTGTACTTTGCATCTTCATATGTCACTGAAACAAGAAAGCCGAACACACCAGTCAAATGTTTAACCACCACAAGCTTGTTTGCACCCTAAACTTTCGTTCATTAAATCAAATATGCTCGCTTTATGGTTAGACAGCTTTTAGGTTAAAGCCTGCCAACTTTTTCGGGCTCATGTATATAATCTGTCAGGATTGGGCCAGCTCAGGTTTATATTAAAGAAAACAGAAATTTTGTCGGGCTCGTGCTGGGCTCAAGCTTCTGTCTAAAATTCTGTCGGGTCCGGGCCAGGCCCGAGCCGTGTCTCTTCAAGGCCAAGTCTGGCCGGGCCCGGAAATTAAATATTCTATTAGGCTCGGGCCAAACCCGGGCCGTGCCTCTCCCGGGCCGGGTCTAGAAATGCTGGCTCGTGCAGTGCTCTAGCACACTCTACATTGGGTGAGCAGAGTCCGCGCTCCGCTCTAAGCAGAATTTATAGCCTATTTCTCTGCCCCAAGGTTCTCAACTCTTTGCTCAGGGCACTCAATGGCATTTCCGGCTCATTTTCCCTGACTGGGCTTGATTTTTGACAATATCCCTGATTTTTCCCGGTAATTAAAATTTCCCTGACAATTCCCGGTTTTCCCGGTTGCTAGACACCCTGCTATACTTACAACATGATGCCATCACCTGACAGGAGAATGTGGCCGTCAGTCGAGGGCTCTTCACGCTCTCTAATTGCCATCATCAACCGATTTGATTTGTAGGGTGGCCATGCAGTGCAGCCATTGCACACCCAACAGGTAGGGACAACTGCGACATCATTTTCCGCCAAAAAATGGACAAGAGAGTACATTTCCTGAAATCAACAAATAAAGCCGTTATTACCTTAAAGACCAGTCATAAGTCACTAAAAATACAGTTTTCGAATTAAGCACAACCAAGGTACAATAGTTGCAAACATAGATCACACTTGCAAGTGAAGTAGATAAAAAAACAGCATAGCCCTGGTTATCGAAAAAACAGTCAGAGTGCAGGCGAGCTGGTGTAAGTTGAACATGATTGTAAACCTGAGACTGGGGCAGAAAAGAGAACACAGCAGAAGGTAGAAAAAGGGGAGGCAACGTCTCAAACTCAGCTGCAAAGTTTATTTCGTACACGCCTTATATACCACAACTCCAACGCCGAATGGCGGTAGTTATGCTAGAATGTGACCCTTTGTGTGAGTGTTTCGCAGGAGAGGTCAAGGGAGATAAGAGAAGGTTTACCCCAGGGACGGGCAAAATACATGCAAATATGTATCGAAATACAAATACAAAATACTTCATCAAAAATGTATTTAATTACACATCTAATTACATTTCCAAAAAAGCATTTCATTACAAGATACAAACACAACCAAATGTATTTGGTCTCCTACAAATACTTTTCCAAATACTTTCCTCAAAATTTGCGTCAGCGACTTCAGAACACCTGCAACGGGTTTCTGGATATCACATTTTAATTTTGCATCGCACACTCGGGAGTTAGTGTGCGAGGCTCTAGTAACGTAATAGAAATATAATCACAAAAAAATGTAATCAGCTTGGACGTAATAGAAAAAGTACAGAGCTTCAAGCAGCTTTTTTCGTCGATTACATTTTGGTACAGACCAACAAAGAACCAATACGACCAAGACGCGCAGCACTAGCTAGAGATTGTTTTTATTGTTGCAACTCGCACCAGTTACGAAAATCTGGACGACCCGCGCATTTAGAATGTTCCAGGCAAAAATATGGATGGAAATCAGGCTGGAAAGCATCACAAGTTGTCACAGGCACTTATTTAGCCAGTCTGCCTGTGAACGTCGATTTCGTCACTATTCCTGCCCTGGACTAGCGCCGTAATCACAAGGTCACTAAATGCTTGTGCTCGATTGAGAGACACTGCATTCGGTGCAGAACGTAGTTTTCTTTCTGCTCTGGACAGTGCATTTAATGTATTTTTGCTCACAAAATTGTATTTAATTACAATTGTATTTGAAATACCCACATTTTAGTATTTAAATACACACGTCAAATACATTACCCAATTTGTAATTAAGTGCAAATGCAAAATACACGAAGTATTTGAAATACATATTTAAAATACTTGTATTTGAAATACTGTCCATCCCTGGCTTAAGTTAATTAACGAAAAGATTACCTAATTTCACCTAGTTTTATAAGGCAGCCATGGCCATTAACACTACACCAGGCTTGAAATTACCCTATCTCACATTTTCGTTATTTATAAATTTGGTGCAGCTGAAAGCTGTGTGTATGTATATATATATATATATATTGTGGCGAAGGAAGTGGAAGAAGAAGTCAGTTCGTCGGAGACCGCCATCGTTCAGTCAACTATCACCTCATTAAATCAACCCTTCTCAAGTATTACAGGTTGGTGGAGGTGCGAACAACTTCCTCACCTCTCGCTAACATCCTGGAGCTCCGCAGTGGCCGAACTGCGCGACTAACCATGCCCGAAGAAAATGGGAACGACACCGACCAACCCATCACGCAGCGGACCACCCCTGCCATCACTGTGAAACACCGCCAGCGGGATCCTCCAACATTCTCAGGAACTTCAGATGAGGACGTCGATGACTGGCTTAAGAACTATGAACGGGTGAGTCACCACAACAACTGGGACGATTCCTTCAAACTGGCCAATGTCGTGTTTTTTCTGAAGGCCAGGGCGCTCCGTTGGTTCGACAACCACGAGGACACCATAAACTCCTGAGATGGGTTCAAGGCACCGTTTGCCGAAGCGTTCGGCAAAGCAGAACATCGGAAACAGCAGGCCAGGGACCAATTGCTCCGACGCTACCAAATGAAAGACGAGTCCGCTACCGCTTACATCGAGGATGTTCTACGCCTCTGCCGGCGAGTAGACTTCAGATGAACGAGGACGACAAGGTCCGTCATTTGCTGAAAGGACTCTCATACGAACTTTTTTCGATCGTCGCCCCGAAGTCCGCTGCAAACGTCACCATCCTTGTTGCAGAATGCAGGAAATATGAAGAACTCGACGGCGCACGAATTTTAAAACGCCCTTTTGACCGCCTTCCCGAAGTGTCCCACAGCATCCCAATGGACAACAGTCTTACTACCTTGATACGCACCATTATTCGCGAGGAGCTGCAAGAATTTAAGGCGCAGCTACGGACAGCTCACGATGGTCTGCAGTCCCACGGAGAACTCCAAAGTCTTCGAACTACAATCCAGAACGAGATGCGTGCTGCATTGCACCCCTTAACGACCACGTCACCTGCTTACTCACCAGGGGCACCCGCAGTCACCTCGTTGTGCGCCTACCAGACGTTCCCCACTACGCACCCGCCAGCTCAACGAAATCAACCGCGTCGCAGAACAGACATCTGGAGGACCGAGGACCAGCAACCTATATGCTACTATTGCCATACACCTGGCCACATCCTGCGCTACTGCCGTCGGCGGCTGCATGACTCTAGCTACCACCGTTCTACATTCGGTCGTACTCTCCGCACTGACGGTCCTGACGACAGCGCCGTATTTCCGGAAAGCCGAGCCACCGACGGCCCTACGCTCCCTCGCCTCCCAACACGCCGTTCACCGACCTACGAAGACAACGACCGTCTCTCCACCCGCCGTGGCCGATCCTCGTCCCCGTATCCAGTTCGTCGCCGCTCTATATCGCCCCTCAACGACGCCGCACCATCGACTTCGCCGCCGTCAAACTGAAGAGAGCAGCCTGCGTCAACACCGGAGGTCAGGCTGCACTTACAAGATACGCCGCAAATCCCCCTGCCGTAACACCGTTGACTATTACAGTGGAAATCGGAGGACACAAATTTAACGCGTTAGTCGACACGGGAGCTTCTAGGTCGTGTTTATCAGAGCGTGTTCGCTCTCACTTGCATCGGGTGCTCACACCTCCAACCGCCGGACACTTGCTGCGTATCAGAAACGGTGACCTTGTTCAACCGCTTGGTTATTGTACCCTTCCTATACGCATTGGTCAAAGTAATCACACCGTAATATTTACAGTGCTCACCAGCTGCATCGCCGACGTCATCCTAGGATGGGACTTTTTGTCGTCCGCTGACGCATTTATTAATTGTGCTAGCCGTGAACTTCACCTGACGGATTCTGACTATGCCCAACCTACCCTCGATTCGACTCTCGCTGCCCTCCAACTTGAAGAGGATTTGGTCCTACCACCGAAGACAGCCGTTGCAGCTGTCCTTATCCCAAGCAAAACTCTCGAAACATCATTCGGTCTTATCGAGCCACTTGCCACTACTTTTGTCCAAAAAGGTGTTCTAATTCCCTATTCTCTTGCATCAGTAACAAAAGGCAAACTTCACGTATGGATCACTAACGTCTCGTCCCAGCCCCAAATCCTTCCTCGCCATAGCCGTATTGCTATCTTCAACGCCCATACAGAGGACAATTTCACGGCGCTGTCTAACACAATATTAAGTCCTGCTCCCACGATCTCCACCGATTTCTCCCAACAAATCGCAAGCATGATAGACTCGAACCTGGCGACACAAGAGCAGACAAGTTTAGCTCAACTCCTTACGAGGTACTGTGACACGTTTGACTTCGGCACTGATACACTGCCACGTACACCAATTGTACAGCATCACATTGACACTGGTGACTCACCACCCGTTCGAAGCAGACCATACAGGGTCGCCGCCGCTGAACGTCGAATCATTCAACAACAGATCGATGACATGCTTAAGAAAAACGTTATTGAGCCATCATCCAGCCCGTGGTCCTCTCCGGTTGTGCTAGTGAAAAAGAAAGACGGCTCCTGGCGCTTTTGTGTCGATTATCGCAAACTCAACAAAGTCACCCGAAAAGATGTCTAT